TGAATCCAGAACATTTATTCCTCTAATCCTGTACCAGGGGACAATGATTTTAGGTCACTATTTATTATTCTCTGTCCATAGGATATTTCTTCTGTGTATTTCTACCTGCAGTGTATCCTGTCATTTCAAATATATTTATTCTGGAAGTCCACCTGGATGCTGTCTGAGGCTACCTGATCTATCCACTCCAGATTGCTCTGAAGGAATTTTGTGTTGTTTCTGTTTTCCTTGCAAATCAGCAAAGCTAGTGGAGAGAAGGGTGTTGACCATATGTTCTTCATATAGCAGGGTAGCATCCTGGTGACCAACACCTAAATGTTCCATAGAACAGTAGAGCAGTAACCAACTGCTCAGTAGCAGCAGTGTCACGGTTTGTGCCTGCTGATGTTACGTTGCCATAGCGACAAGCTATGTGGTCGCCATAGCTCATTGCTATCGCAATGTAGTGTCTCGTGTACATGTGCCCACTGTGACCCTGACAAAAGCATGCTGAGCATCCCCAGCCTATGTTGTCAAATCTCACATTGATCAGGCTGAAAAAATGTGGCACGGCAATAAACCCTCTGCATGAGCCCTGGACCAGTGCTCCATTGTAACACTAGAGAGCTTTATCTACAGAATGTACTTGTACCCTTATTGCTGTACTGTCTGAATACCTCACAATTACAAAGTAAGTCATCCTCACCCATTCCTGTAAAGTAGAGAAGTATTAACCTTACTGGACAGAAGGTACTGAGTCATGGGCTTGATTAAGTGACTTGCCCTTGGGCAGACAGGGATCTAGTAATCTACTTTAGCTCAAAATAAAGCATAGCATTTAAAACCATTCTTCACAGAAGACTCACTTCCCAAACCTTAGACCTCTATCTTTTCTTCCCAGAATTGAAAAATATCATCCATGCTGATTTTGAAATTGTGTGTGTGTGCGTGCGCGTGCAAATCGTTCCCCTGGGCTCAGGCCTTTTTTTCTGGGTTTCAGCCTGAGTGGCTTTTTATAGCTGAGTTATAAACTTTTAAAGGGCAGACTTAATCATAGGATACTGAGATGGCCATTAGAGTACTGGTTTAAGTGGCATGGCTCTGATATATGTGACATCTCCAAGTACACTTAGCAAAGAAGGATGCTGGGGTTCTCATCTGTAGTGGGGTTCCCAGTCTGGAAGAAAATGTCTTAGTTAAAAAGGGGACTGAAACCTGGTACTCTCAAGTCCCATTCTTGCCTCTGCTACAGAGTCATTCTATGACACTGAGCAATTTACTTATCCTCTCTGAATCCAAATTACTCTTTACCAGACAGGTAAAATAACTCCACTGATATAAAAATCATTCTGTGTTCTCACTGATAGAACCAAGATCAGAATTTGGCTGCTTCTGCCTCAGTTTCTCTATGTATTAAATGAAGATTAGAATATGTGACCGCTTGTGACAGTTCTAAGATTTGTTTTTGAAATGTCTTGAGGCCTTGGGTGGCACTCTGTGAACTAGTGCAAACCCAAGTGTTCAATTTAATGCTGGTTGGAATTAGTGTTTTTAAATCATCCTGGGTATCTGTAATCACAGAAGCACCAGAAAGTGGAGATTCAAAAGACATTGGCTCCTGCTCATGGAGATAGCCAAAGCAAATTTTGTTTCATAGAATTTATACCACAAAACTATGAGCCACCTAGTTTTAAATGAAGACAGGCACCTGGGCTTCAAACATATATCTTCAAACTCAGAAAAATCTTTCCTATTCTGATCACCTTGAGGTTTAAGGTTTCAACCTGCAAGCAATATGAGAACAAATATTTTGATGGAAAAACTGCCTTACATGAAAAAATACAGAATTTTTCTTGGTGTTCTTTTTCCAAATTTATTCATTTATTAAACAAACAGAAACTACAACATGCATCAGATACTTTTCTTTATTGTACAACAAAACTAGTAATTTGTAATTGCAGTGTTTCCAGCAACATCAGGCAGACTTTTCGATGTTATCCAGTTTTGCACAGTCACTAGAGTGTCGCATCATGAATTATTAAATCAGTGCTTCGTGGTAATACATAATTTCTTATCAATTATTCATGCTAATGTGTGTGTAGTTTACTTAATTGTGTTATTGACGATCAAAAGTAATTTCCTGAAAATCCTCAAGGACAGAAAATTTAATCAGCGTAACTACTTTTCAGATGCAATGCTGTTAAGTATTCTTAATTTGCTCAACAATTCACTTATTTATGTACCTTTCTGGAGGAAATACGAGTTTAATCAAACAATTAGATTGAAGAGTTAGTGTACAGAAGGGCTGAACTTCAACTGAATGCAAGGTAATTATGTTGAAACAAAGTTGGGTTTGCCAATTTTGAGCAGATCACTTTTTTTTTGCTGAGAAAATCTGAAAAACGAACTATGATTGGAAAGATTACTAAAGAACAGTGATTGCTTCTCCTTCTCTGGGCCATAACATTCTGTTCCATTTCTGATGGGTTTTTTTGCTGTAATTTTCACTCGAAGTTGTATAAACTGAAGCCTGATTTTTAGTAAGTGACTTCTAAGAGTTCAGTAGAGTTGCTCCTTTGATTGATTAGAACATAAATAACCACAAGCTTTTGCATATTCCTCCTGTTTTAGGACATGGTTTTATCATCAGGGCAGGAGAGAAAATACACAATAGACCAATTTAAAAAACATGAATCCATTCTATAAATATTGACCCTGCTAGAATTTTTAGTGGGCATTTAAGGATAGAATAAAAACAATACCCATGATCAGCTTGTTTCAGAGGGAGCAAGAGCATGGCAGGATTGTGCCTTTGGGACAGATATACACAGTTCTCCTTTTCTAATGAGTAATATATAAGGACTAACAGTTCCTGCCTCAAGCAGGAACCTCAGGCAGGAATGGCGAGCCACCAAGCTGCAATAGGAAGTCCCTTTGCTCCTCAAGAAGGTAATGGGACCTTTGAAACTGATACACTGAAATCGTATGGGTAGGAATGGAAGTTTGCTTATTGACATGAGTCAATGCAGCTCTGGTCTAGGTACTTTGTAGGAGTCTGATCCTGTGAAGTATTAAGTTGATTTAAGGGTACTCAGTTCTTTGCAGGAGGCTCTTCATACAGCACACAACATCAGACCCAAAGTAGTACCTGGATGCAAAATGCTGAAATGCAGGCTGGAGTTGACTGAAATTATGGGCCTAAGTCAGCCCCTGGTCTGAGCAGCGTAACTTCATTTACTCAGGTGAGTTTCTGTCACTTACACCCGAACTGATGATGACTTTGTAGCCTTCCTTATTCATTAAGGACCTGATCTAAAAACCACTAGAGTAAATGAAAGCTTTTCCATTCAATTTAAAGCGATTTGGATCAGTTCTAAACTATTAATTCAAATGCTTTTATGTTTTGGGGGAATTACAGGCTGGAAAATGAATATATTTCCAGTAGGATCAATTTCTCCTTCACATTGTTCATGCTGCCAACAGATTAAGACATATTTCTGTCTATCTGGCAAATTGAATAAGGGAAATGATAGTCTGATGGAATAAAGGAATGTGCACAAAGCCTTTTTTTCTCTTTATTAAAGACACCAACATACAAAGAAGTATTTGCAATATTGCAACACAGAACTGCTCTGCTTTCCAATCTTTTCTGTCCAGGCATGTTTGCAAAATGACTTGGAATTGTTTTTCAAACTTTTCCAAAGATCAAAAATCCCAGATAAAGAAAAAGTGTCAAAAGTCCAGAAATAACAACAATCTCCATTAAAATGCTGACATTCCTATTTGCAAACTATTTTAGGTTGTTGCTGAACTTCCTGTATCCCTTACATTTGCTACAAGGAGTAGCACCAATAACAGAGTAATGTTCACATGGAGCATAGCACAGGGATTTTAATTGCTAGCAAGTCAATCTCAGCATTTTGCAGGTAATCACTGTGTTCAGCTGAAACACTCAAGGGGCATTTTACTCTTTTTAAGATCATTGTAATGAGTTTCAATCTGTTTTCTGCTTTTCAGACCTCAGTTGCTTGGAGCAGGTTCAGTGTAAGTCAGTGACATTGGAAAGGAGCAGGACAAACAGACATAATTACTTGTTCCCTCTTCTATCTGGGGGTGGAAGTAAATTAGGCAGGAAAGCCACCACAAACATAGTGGGGAAGTAGTGTCTTTACAGCATAAATCCCTCCAGCCCCAGACTCTTAAGACAGTAGAAGCTGCACTGTGTGCAAGAACTAACTGTGGGTCTGGCTCTGTGGCCAAAGGCAGAGCTGGGAAAGAGCTCCATGGTACAGATCCTCATGGTACAGAGGGCAGTGTAGTAGCTAGCTCTGCTCTTGCTTGTGCTGTCAACTCACATTCCTCAGCAGGGAAGATGAGAGCCAGGCACCAGGGAAAACCCACTGATCTGGAGTGGAGGCTGAAGGAGCTGGTTCCTTGCCCCATAAAGTATCACCTTCTAAGCATCTCCATTTTGAGGAGAGGGGGCTCCATAAGGAGCAGCTCTAGTGGACTTCCAAGTGCTTCTCTCTCTCCTCTGGGAGAGGCATATCATCCAGAAGAAGTGTAGTCAAGTTAAGATCCTTCTGCATCCAATTCCAAACAGGCCAGGGCTGGGCTACCCTGAGGTGTTGCCACTGACTAGATGGATGGCATTTGAGGTTGATCCTGTTTCTAATGAAGACAGTACCCGGGGGCACCACTGATTTCAGAGGGAGCAGGCTGGAATTCTGGACAGTTTGGTATCACGGGGATGGAAGGAGACTAAAGACAGTTTCACAGACATTTCCAAACACAGAAGGTGCCAATAAATCAAGGGAATAATCTATGGTGGCATCAGGAAAGTGAGGAGGCATGAAGTGCAGCTAAGGCATCCTTTCATATTTGCCTTAGATCCCGAAAGTTCATGGTGGCCCTGGATCATCCTGGTTGGGTGGGTCCACACTGTAGTATACCAGATGATGATTTCTGCAGGAGGCTGAAGGTTCTTTGCAACAAGCCAGTGGCTGAGGAATCACCCATCCTCATACGCTCTTCTCCCCTTCCATGTGTTCTTTGGCTGGAGAAGGCTTGTTGTCCTGGCCATTCTCTGGGGTAGGCTTGGCTGGGGGAGTAGGGCTGCTGCTGGTGGATGGCAGGAGGTTGGCAGACTGCAGCACGGCCTCTGAGTGTTCCCGTGCTTTCATACGCAGTGCTGCCACACTGGCTGTGCGGTTGCTCTGGCAGCCATAAGTAGGGAGGAAGGATAGGCCCATGGGGTCTGGGACGCAGCAAGAGCACAGTGGGCTCCCTGAGGGAAGGAAAAGACAGGCCCCTGTCAGTTTGGGAGAATTCTGTAGTCAGTGACAAAACCCCTCAGTACATTTGAGTTCAGCTAAAGCCTCACAAATCAGCTGGAGATCTGGACCTTTGTGAACTCAGGAGCTCCAAGGCCAATAAATGTAACTATGACCCTAAATTTGGGGCTCAGACTTCTCCCAAAAGTGGACTACACCTAGGGCATTCTTTTAACACAGGGGTGAGCAAAATATGGTCTGCAGGCCGGATCCAGCCAGCCAAATGATTCCATCCACCCTGCCCTTCTCTCTTCCCTGTGCTGTAGCCGGCTGCAGCAGCAGCTGCTCTGGCTCCAGTGACCAGGCAGCCATTCCCCTTCCTGGCTCAGCCCACCCTGTCCTGCCCCCCAGCCCCTAGTGTTCGCTCCAAGGCAGGGGGCGCTGAGCTGTCTGCACACAGCTCTGGCCCTGTGGACATTTGTAGACCAGATAGCCTGGGCCCCAGCGGCAGTTGAAGCTCAGGTATGGCTCTCCTTGCTGGTGGGGGAGCAGATGTAGGGGAAGGAGGGCTAGGAGCCATAAGTTATATGGGCCCTGCCAGGGGTGCAGGCACTGCTAATGTGGCACTGCACTGTGTTCTGGTGCGCCACTTCAGGCTGCACACCTGGAGCTGGGCTGGCTCCCGCCTCAACCTGGTGTGGCTCCTACCTGACCCTGAATCCCTGGCATGCGACCAGGTTGGGCAGGAGCTGTGCCAACTGCTCCAGCTGCACCCAGGTAGCCTGAAGTGGTATGCAGGAACACAACAGCATGGCACTGGCCTGGCCACATGCCAGGGACTCAAGGTGGAGGAGGGGGTGCAGGGAGAGCTACAGGGAGCTCGTTTGTGTCTGTGTGCATGTGTTTGTGTATTCTCATGCATATGTTGCATGTGTGTGCCTGCGCGCATGTGTGTGTGTCTGCGCACGCATGTGTTCACAGCCCTCAACAGCTCACCAAAACTTGTTAAGTGGCCTTCAGCCCAAATAATTGCCCACCCCAGTTTTAGCCCTTTTATGAGGTCTTATCTTTCCAGAACATTAGGTCTCCACAACCCCTATCAACTTTCAGTGGGATTGTGGATGTTCAGCTTGCAGGAACCATGAGGGCCAGAACCTACTATCATTTCTTATGTTGAGGAATACTGTACTAGGAGAGTTGCTCAAGGTGACTCATCGTCTGCGTCCACACGAGCTGGGATGTTTGGTTCCCTGGGGACAACTAGCAGTGGCACACCTTGTGCCACTGCTAGTTGTCCCTGGGGAGTGCCTGTGCCATGTGCCCTCTGGTGTGCAAGTTACCCTGGGTGGGGTAGGGGAGGCTGGGGCCAGCACTGCCCAGCATCCTTACTTGGGGTCCTGGGGGCCCCCTGGGGCTGCAGCAGCAGTGATCCTACTGCTCAGAGCCTGGCCAGCAGCTAGTGTAGCTCCAGCCAGCCAGGCTCCAGTTTTGAGCAGCATGCACTGTCCCCACGTGTTGCTCTGCTTTATTTATTTATTTATTTATTTATTTATTTTGGCACAGGTTGGGGGGGGGCGGTTGACCTCTGGATATCCAGACAGCTGCATTCATCTGGATATGGCCATAGAGTAAAACTTAGTGTGACAGAGGACAGGAAAATCTTACCCTTGGATACAGAAACCAGCTGTGAAATTTAAGTTCACATGTGAACCATTCCCCAAATTCAGGATCATCTGGAGGTGCAATCAGATTCGATTGCCTTATTTTCTTCCTTATTTTTAATTGAGAGAGTCAACCCCAGCTCTGAGCTCCACAGTAGGAGGACCCTTCCGAACCAAGTTTTGATCTACATGGGCAATGCCATTAATGATTTAGAACCAGGAAGCTTTGATTCAGTCTCCTGTCTCTATTCTCTAAGCCTGAATGTTTATTGCACTAAATTGGTATTCAGCAGCAGCAAAAGCGGCAACAAAAACCTTAGCAAGAAAACAGATTAAAGAGTGGAAAATGATATGAGAGGCCAGGGCAAACCACCATCACTCGGCAGCGGTAGCAGTGGCCAGCGGTAATTGGGGACTGCCCGCAGACACCACCAGCAGTGTCAGCAGCAAGTCGGGGGGCGGTGAGCAGCAACTGCCCGCAGGTGCCGCCAGTAGTGTTGGCAGCGCTTTTCACAGGGGATGCACTGCCAATCTCAGGGGGTGCACGTGCATTCGTGTGTACCCTCTATGCATCGCCAATGGCTGGAAACATGACCAGTGTTCAGTAACACTATTCAACAGCTTGCGCCAGAGAGCAAGGAAGAAAGCTGTGTCTCTGTGAGGGTGTGTAGGATTCAGCGAAATGGAAAGAAACTGAGCCAATTGTACTCTTCTAAATGCCATAAGATTCTCTACTGTCCCTGTTGGTGAGGACCTTGGATTTGTGGCTCATCAAAAGACTGTATAGCACTTCCTGTCACAGAATCCAGGAATGAACATAAGTGATCAAGCAAATGATGCAAGGTCCCAGATCCCATCTGCCCCTTGACAGTGGCCTCATCTAGCTACTGATTTCATGCATTCATGATTAGCTTGGGAGAGCCATCTAGAAACTTGCCAGAATGATGAGGTTGTCTCTTGAAGTACAAGGTAACTCATGCTATCCTAAAGCAATTGCTGCTTTGTGGTTAGATGGGTATCTTGTTTGCCTCTAACAGGATGTTACCTTGGTGGATTGTGTGGGAACCTTGCTGGTCTGTTTTTTCTGAAACATTTTCCTTGGGACAGAGAACATTTTTCCTGCAGTCTTAGGAAGCGATCTGACGTTATATAGAGCTCTGGGCCATTTGCAGGATGGATTGGAACCCTCCTACTCCAACAGCACTGAGACAAGCGTGTCTCAGAAGGGAGACAGAGGGGTCAGTGGGAAATAATGATAGTGATGCCAATAATGCACCTTTGTTTCCTGCAATTTAAAAGGACTGCAGCATGCTTTTATTAATACATAATGCTGATAGCATCACCTAAAGGCCACACCTGAGTTCAGCCTCACTGTGCTAGGGGTTGTACAAATGAATATCTGAATGACAGGCCTTGCTGAGCTGCAGATCATATCTACATTTTTGCATTTGTCCCCTAATACCTTCTTTTCTGTCTTTGTGGGAAAGTAATAACATGTCATAAGTGCCTGGAAAAAACACAGGGGTTTTTTAAATTATGTAGCAACATAATCCTTCTTCCTTCCCTCAATTCTTTCGATCTACTATTTTGTGTTGTTAAATGGTTACTCTGATGTTGGTTACATTTCAATGAGGAAAATGTATTTGTTTGCGGGTAGTAAAAATTATAATTTATGTTATATATTGTACTGATTTTATTATAAATCCCCCTTTTTCCCCATGTGCTCCGAACTTCTCTGTGGGCACATCTACAGGAGATGCTACTGTACAGTTGTTAGTGTGCATTTATTTAGTATGTGTATTACCAAGTACTAAATTAATGCACAGTAACTGGAGTTACTGTACAGCAGCACTGGTGAATGTCTTTTAGGTGATGCTATTGTGCAGTAGCCTTATAATACTGAGCGATAACATATTAACACTGCCCCTGCTGTGATGCGCTACTTCACAGTATATTTCAGCTACTGCGCAGTCAGCATCTCATGTAGACACGACCTGTGTTACTTAAATTACCCACAAAATCCAGTGTTTGCTTTCAAGCACCCTAAAGATAGACGTGTTCAATCCCTAGGAACAGGGACAAAATTTCAGGTTTAGTTATGAATGGCAAGCTAGTAGCACTTGCATTGAGAAGAGTTTGGACTCAAGACACTGTAAAAATGTTAGTTCACTGATCACGTGTTGGCTAACAGGAGTTAAAAAGGCATTTCATTTAGATTCATAGTCATTACCCTTAATTCAGATTTTTTTAAAACATTTTCTCAAGAAATATTCCTATAAAAACTAAGGTCTGATACCTGCCATGGTGATATCTTGCTGATGTCCAGAAAACAAACAATTGTCTGGACTCAGTCCAAGTAGACAAATGTTGACCTGGTGCTACTGAAAACAGAACTGTAATAGAGTACCTGCTTTCTTTTGGTTATTATTTCAATCACTTAGTCATGAGCCATAGAACTCAGATATTAACTGCTGAAATTAAAGCAAATCCTTGGCATGGAAAAATATTATGAAAAAATTGTGTTGCTTCTCACAGGGGTCTGTGAGGCTGCTGTGGAGCAACATTTTAGCTAAGGGCAGCCCAGCTGGGGTGCTGAAGGAGTTGTGGAGGAGTTATGCTATTGCTGGGGCACCTTGGAGGAATTCTGTCTGCCAGACTCTTTATGGGGAAGATGGAGGACAAGTTATAGCTGCAGCTCAGCCATCCCTGGAGAAGGAGCAGGCACTACTGTATTTTTATTTTGGTGACACTAATGCGCAGTAGACTAATTCTACTGCACAATTAGCATGTTTTTTGCTGACCGTACTAATTTGCAGTACAATTAGTCTACTGTTCCTTTAGCGTCTCATGTAGACACGCCATTGTTACTTAAATTAGCTACAAAATCCAGTGTTTGCTTTCAAGCACCCTGAAGATAGAAATGTTCAACCTCTAGAGATGGGGACAACATTTTAAAAATTTACCAGGATGGGAAGTAAATCTCTTCCCAACCTCAGAGATGCTCATCTGCTTTAGAAAGCTTCTCAGAATAATAATTGCCTCTCTAGATCCTCAGTCAAACTTTGCTCCCAGTGGAAATGAGGGGATTTTCACTAGCTATTCCAAAAGTTTTGTCCTAGTAAGGAAGCAGCTGAGGCCATTGGAACAGCTAGCAAAAGTCCCCACACTTCCATTGGGAGCAAAATTTGACTAGATTTAGAGTAAATGATCAAGCTCACTGCCCAGCTCTGCCAATCCATTCTTTACTATATTTTGTAAAGATTGTTGATGGTCATCTAGTTTTTGGGGTCAATTAAAAGCCTTTGGAGGGAAAAGAACTGCACACAGACAGCACAAAAAAACTAAGCTAGCAT